GAGTTGACGAAAAAACATATTAGACTAGATTTCTCAGCCGTAAACGACCGTTTATCTCCAAACAGCAGCTAAACTAGGCTGTATAAACTGTTAAACTGTGGGCGACACCTGTTCAGTAAAGTGTCTGAGAGGCACTGTAATAAAATATACGCAACAGATTTCCAGTGTAATAAACAGAATCATTATAAAAGAAAGAAACCCGTAAACACGGTACCTGTTTAGCTCAGGTCAGCTAGCTCGGCTAACGCTGCCTCAGGCTGGAGTCGAGCTGTGAGAGCGGCTCTCAGCAGGTTTCATGTTTGACCGCTGATAATAACGCCTTTTTCTTTAGTTCATGTTTAAATGAACACAGATGACCGTTTGGACGCGGCCTGCTCCTCGTGTGAGCTGGTTCAGTTCTCCTGTCCTTCTCCACTAAACTGGACATCTCTGTGGTGTTTTTTTCCTGCAGGAGCTGCTGTTTTTTGATTGGTAAATCTTTTAAATTTAACCGCGCTTTGTTATTATTGGGTGATAAGCTGATACGCTCACCATTTATTTTTACTCTGTAGCGTTATGAAAATTAAAGTAGCGAAGTAAAAGCATTTCAGTAAAAATGAACTCAAGTAAGAGTAAAAGTACTAGGATTTAATTCTACTCCAAAAAGTAGCGGTACAGGGATAACTGTACTCAATTACAGTAACGAGAGTAAATGTAATTCGTTACTTACAACTCTGGTACTTACATCATGGTAATGATCTGTAGTGATGGACATCGCTATATAACCAGGGAATCATGAGGACTGCTTGTTTGCAGTAGTTTATCTTTAATTATTCTTAGCATATACTTACAGATTAATGGTGAACCTCTAACCTTCAGTGGATCGCTTATACAAGACAATCAGAGCTTCTCATGCTATAAGTGAGATTCCTCCCACTCCGACTATTCCACAGCCCAGCACAATAAAGCACAAATAACACAAACACATCTTAGACTAACATTAGCAACTTAAACAGATCCATTGATGACGCAATAGCTGGGACTCTACACACAGCCCTCTCCCAAGCAGTGTCTAAGACAGTGTTGATGGTTTTATATCATGAGGATTAGTAACTGTGTGAGTTCCTGATTCAGGTTTTGTCCTTTAACTCATGTTTTCAGTTGTCTTACATGTGTTACTTCTCACTGCTGTATGACCAAACTAGAAAAACCAAATACACACTCAGCTTTCATTTGATGAAACTTTATTTTCTAGGAAAAAGGCAAGTAATCAAGTTTTTCACCATTTTTTCATTTGTAGCTCTGAGCTGATGGGGTAGTCTATGCTGGTGGTGTAGCTGGTGGTTTAGTTGCAGTAGTTCTGCAGGTCGAAGATGCTGCAGGGTTTGTGGCAGCACTGCTCCACGATGCCTCTCTTCACCATCAGCTCAGTGTGCTCTTTATAAGGGAATTCGGCCAGCTCCCCCTCCTGAGCAGACTTGGGGGGAAGGAACCCTGAAAGAGGGAATCAGAAATAATGCAACATTCTAACGGAGAAGTTAAAAATGGTGTTTTCTGTAAGACAAAATATACAAATAAGCCAGACTGACACTCCTATCAGGGGTTCGTAGAGCAATGCCACAGAAGAACCACTTTTCATTCCCTAAAAATCAAACAAGGATTGGTAGAAAAAGAGATGTGTGAGTGTGAAGAACATTTAAAAGTTTTAAGGAACCTTCACATAGTGTACCAATACCAGTTTAAGGGTTCTTCCGAGAAGCTTTACATTATGCTTTAAACTTTAGAAAAGGTTCTTCATCTTCCCACATCTACTTTACAAAAACAGTTCTGTAAAAAAAAATCTATAGAAAACTTTTTTTAGGGAACCAAAGTTGTTCTTCTAGAGCAGACCACAAAGAACCTTTTTAGCACCTTTATTGTTGAGAGTGGAGAAAACATTTGAAGCTCCTCCTTCTGGGAAGGGAGCATCAAGTTTTTTGCAGAAGACTTTTTGAAATAATTATCTTATATAATTGATCAATGAAATAATGATATTGGTATTTTCGGGCAGAGACTATGTATGAATTAGGCATATCTAGAAAGACTAAAATCTTCAGTAACCGTTCAGTGACAAATATACTTTCTCAGTATTCAGTCGATAATAATACTGCATATCCATTTTGAGCATCCACTGCTTAATTCCATCTAGTTACACTGTTTCTCACCGAGCAGTGGGTCCACCTCTCTCTTGGGGTTGTAGAAGAATCCCGAAGGGCCACAGACCAGGTAGAGGGCGTCCACCAAGTGAGATCCGCACAGGTGTTGAGGTGCGCCAGCATTGGCTCCTGCAGTGGAGAACGCCAGCAGGAACAACAGAGCACCAGCCTGGAGCCACGCTGCCATGGTCTGAGAGGAAGACAAAATAAGCCATATGACTGTACTGTACAACGTAAAACTTGTGATAAAATGTGTAATTGCTGCAGATTCTTTTTATTAAGGTTAATATCCATAACTACATTGTACCTAATATGTTCTAAGAGTTAATTATTAAGCTTCTTAGTGATGCATCCTGGGATTAAAACTGATCATTTGAAATGCGACACAATCGTTCGCCCACTTTTGGTAGAAATCTGTATATTTCTTTTGAAAGACAGAACTTCAGAGATTATAAGTGTGTTCATTCATTTACACTACATGTCGAACCTTTACCCAGACACCCCTTCAAATTAGTGAATCCAGCTACACTTATTTCTGACAGGAGTTTAATTTGGGACACCCAGCCTTTGTGATCTCAATAGAAGAGCATTGACCAATAGAATGAGATGTTCTGGAGCAGACACTCATGTGCCTGAGATCATCGTGCCCAAGGCCAAGCATTGGCTAGAGGGTATAAGGCCCACCAGCATTGGGCTGTGGAGCAGTGGATCTGTGTTCTTTGGAGTGATGGAGCTCCTCCAGTACCTTTGGGATGAGTTGGAGTGTCCAGAACTGATCATCCAACATCAGTACCTGACTAATGCTCTTGTGGCTGAACGCAACCAAATCCTCACAGCAATACTCCAACATCAGCAAGGGGAGCAGATGTCTGAACTATTGGTCACATAGTGTAGTTTGCGATCATCTTAGTATGTTAACTAAAACCCAACAACACAGCAAATAGATAACAGAGAGGTTTTAAATGTTAAATACACTTAGGACCCCTTTCTACCCTGTAAAGGTTCTCTTTCTTACCTGTTCTTGTAGACAGAGGAGTCCCACAGAGTTGGTGAGGTGCTGAGAGAGGAGAGACCGTTTGGGACGATCGACAGTTCTTCTCCACCTTTATACCTGTGCAGGTGTTGCTGTTGGTCCATGTCAGCGGAAAAAGACACCTTGCACGCACAAACGCTCTAGTGCCGTTAAGTGGCTGTCGGATCACACATGCCACATTAGCTACGTTTGTCTAGCTAATTTGCCTTTTCCGCCTGAACCGACTTACATCTCTTGTTTCCATGTGTTCTGAGAATCCTTAAAGGATAATCTGAACTGACTTTGAGAAAAAAGTTTATAAAAGGGTCAGAATGGAGCTAAACCATTAGTACTCTGAGCTCAGATCAGGCAGCAGCATCAAAGATTGGACTAAACGCTGAGTAGCACATTTTGCGTTTGCTTTCTGGGGGCAACAGAAGGCGACAGCTGGTCAGTTTAATTAGTAAAGATCCTTCAGTGGTAAATATCAATTGAGGGTAATGTAGCACAAGCTTATGTGTCGTAGTGTTTCCTGTGATAGAGTAGTTGCTGACTAAGCATCTGCTATTAGAGTGGTGCAGATAGTGATTAAACGGATCATATAACTATGTATTATTATCATATACTATGTATTATTCTGTTGAATATTTGGGTATTTTTGTGAACAGTACACTGCACTTTATGAACTTATTGTATTTTCCAAGACAAGTATGTTACCAACATAATTTATTGGTTTATAGTGAATTCTGAGGGGATGAATTCTGTACCCTGGGAACACATTGATCACTGGTTACAAATTCAGATCTACTCACTAGTAACACTTTCAGATTGTTTCAAATTCTATGATTTACTGTCTTTGCATTTTTTATTGTGTTTTCATAAGTTAAATGACTTCGTGACATCTACTGCACAAAATCTCATGTAAAGGTCTTTACTGTAAATCTATACTGGTCTATACAATATGCAGCCAATAAGTAAGTGCAGAATAGGCCAAACTGGTGATCCATCACTGGTCATCTAGTATCTTCTAAAAAATTGTATGACTATTATAGACTACTATATACAATGCCCACAGGATATAGGTGTTATGGAAGCCTTCTAAAGTTCTGGCAGGGTTGGTGATCTGGTGGCCACCTGCATAAAACATCTTAAATATTTATCTTTTGTTAAACGTTTAAGGGATTTAATGCTTTAAATGAACATTTACTGTCAAAAACATAAAATTTGTTTCTAAAACCCAATTTACAATTTACAGTGGATTTTTTTCACAAGCCAAAAATAAACTAACATGTTTTATGTAAGTGATCAGTAAATATTTTATTATGCAAATAACCTCAGTGTGTAGTAATAGCATTAAATGAGAAGTTAATGGTTACCCAAGATTTTCAGGTCAGGGGGCTCCACTGAGATTCAAAGGTTGCTTCATTGACTTTGACTGACAGTTCATTTAGGACAGGTGACCTTCTCTCATTGAAATGTTGCACAAAATTTGTCCATGAACAATTCCTAAAAACTTGGCTTATGAAAAAAAAAAATCACATATGGGAAAATCTTTTCAATTAATTTTAACTGCTGCTTCCAAGAGCAGTTACTCTTGGACACTTGAGCTGGCACTGTTGCCCTGAAGACCTGATGTCTAAAATATCAATTGTAAACTTTTTCAATGCTTAGTATAGCAGTATATTTTCTATAACTGAGATTTCTCAGCCCTTGTCTTACTCTGTCTTACTCTGTCTCTACTCTGTAATGTCCCCAATCAAATGTTTCCCAATGCTGGCAGTGACAATTCTGAAGGAAATATGAAGAGAAGCAAATATGTAGGAAGGGTTTTAAGTATTTCTAGCCACAGGAGGCTCATGGGGAAAAAACAAGTAATTGCAACATATATACAATATACAACTCTGAAATTGCTACTGCACAATGCATAATTAGCACTTTATGAATTGCAAAACACAGATATATAAATTAATCTAAAAAACAGAAAACACAAGGTACCAAGGATAAAAATGATAAAAACAATGATTTACAAAAAGACTGAGAAAAACTGAGAAAATTATTTGCTAAAATAATTTGAATTTGTGCAATGACTGTAAATAAATAGTGCAAAAAAAAATATGAGTACTGTATCCAAAGCTGTGAAAAATGCAGACCAGTCCCAAACTTTTCATTTTGCCAACTGATGCAAAACTTGGCCAACAGCTGATTAGAGAATGCTGATTTCCTCAATTTTGACGCTGGTGGTGAAGAGCACATCACTCCAAAATCTCCCATAAGTGTTCAATCATGCACAATCATGGTCACTGAATTTGTGCTTGTGACCAGAATTTCCGACCCTTTTTACTGATGTCTTTCCCATAGATTTAAATGCAGAGGACGCTTTAGTCCCTGTTTCTATGGAAACACTATCCAGTTGAGCAGTCTTCCTGATCCGACATCCAATAATGATTTCTCCTTCAAAGTCACATGGATATTTCCCTCTTTCTTCTTCCATCAGTCCAAATCAAGGTCAGCTGGGCCTGCCCACTATTTTTATATGTCACAGAGCACGGCAGTATGTTAACTGCTAAATTATATCACAAAGTACACCTCTGGACAAAATGTTCTCCTTTTAAAGGTCCACTAGGCCTTTCTGGGTCCAGACTCCAGTTCATCCACTAGGAAAGACTGTTTCAGTTTAAGGATTTCATAGAATTCTGCTTTCACAGCGGTTCCTCCCGACTGAAGAATTTCGTACAAGATCCTCATTTGTCCCTGAGATGTTTTTGCGACTTTGATGTTATTGTACATTTCATCACCAATCATTTTCTTGCTTTGTAGAGAGTCTGCTAGTTCCATTACTGAGGAAACTCTCTGAATGAGCTTTTCTCTGTGTTCGTCCACAAATTCAGCAGCTGAAATGCAAACAGTAAAAATGATTGCAGATGAGCGTCTTTTAAAGGCTCAGTTAGCTCTGGCACCAGTTGCTGTTGCACATGCAAAGTTGGCCTGTTATTGGGAGCCAATCCTCCAGCATGTCTACTAGCTGTGTGGGTGGCACTCAAATAAATATTTAATTGCTAGCTTTACAAGCCCCAAAGGATTACAAACAAACGTCACACTGTACCTTTCATCCTTTTGATTAGGGCTGCATCCGTATTGTGAGCTGAGATGGTGAGAACACCAAAAGATTAGTGCATGTCAGACAGCATGATTAAGAAAACTACCCAGAACTGGATTTATAAAGGTCATTGATGTCATTGTGTTTTTTTCACAGGCAAAAAAATTATATTTTTGTACATTTTCAACATGCAAAGACACACATATAGGCTTATAACCATATAAAATGAAAAACTCAAACTAGCTGAATTAACAAGAACCGTGGTTCTTTCAGAAATGTCAAATATACAGGTTACATCCTGTTCCAGTAGTGTGGGCAGACACATCTCCAACCTCATGACACACTATTTCAGAAAAATATGTACTTATAATTCAACTGACAAGCACAATCATAGATTTTGCTAAGGCCATCCTGACAAAAATGACATTCATTCCTCTCAAGGGCTGGTGCTAGGCTCACAGGCAGAAGTAACCGTGCCTTCCTCAAATATTATGAATTGACACAACTAAAATGAATCAGCAATCTGTTTAAATATAGAGATATAGCACCTATGGGTGAAGACGATTACCTGCCTGTTCATACAACATGTTAAAGAAGATGAAAGTAAGTAAGAAACCCCACATCACGATAACCAGTTAATTGACACTTTATTGTCTAGAACTTTCTAACCTCCCCCCATTCACCATCACTTCCCACTGCAAAGTAAGCTTTGGCCATTATACGTTTAGAAAAATGTAGTGATGTCAGCCTTGATACTGAAGCTATGGAGCATGTGTCAAAAAACCAACTCGCTTCACTGTGAACCGTCGTATCGATGCTTGGTGATCAATGGCCTCTTTTCCACTGTCGAGCCAAATGGTTCTCAGGGACGTACTGGACTGTTTTTGTGCTGGTCTGGACTTGTGAGACCGGTTACGTTTCTTTTTCCATCTGTTGTACCACTAAATCAGAACCACGAAAAACCCAAGAAAACTACATAAATGAGTGGCTAACAGGCTAATAGCTACATACACACTACACACCACAAAACACGTCTGATTCGGTCTATCACTCCAAAACCTCTCGCCGTGCTCTCAGATTCTTTATCCTCTTAACGGCTGTTTTTTGAGCATTAGTTACTGAAACTGCCTTTACTGTGGTGGGTTTCACGTATAGCCGACTAACTACACTAGCATTAGCGTAGCAAAGCAGGGTCCAGCTCAAAGCACCACGGAACAATTCTATATTTTATATCTCTGTCCCTTCTGCACCAAATTGTGCTGTCAGATACAAGTCTTTATCCTGTTTTTAATCATCGGTTCACTGGAACTGAGACCGTGCTGCGGAGGGAGGCACCGCACACTTGCATTAGCTTAGCCTAGCAGACTGCAGCTTGAAGCACTACAGAACAGGTCTGATTTCGGCTTTCTGTCACTCCAACACCAATCAGTCAACTTTGCTCTCACTGTTATAAGATTTTACCATCTATACATGTGATAGCAGAGCAGTTGAACCTGCTAGCCAGGAGAGAAGACCCAGGTGGCATTAGCTTAGCTAGGAGGCTCCAGCTCCAAACACCAGAGAACAGGTTAATTTTCAGCTTTCTGTCCCTCTAACATCAGCCACTCAGCTTAGTTTCCTCAGATTTAAATCATTATCATCTAAATGTGTGTCAGTAAAGCTTTTCTTAGTCAGAATTCAACCTGTTCTGTAGACAGCAGACCTGGCAGCATGCTAGTTAAGCTAACGCTAACCAGCTCTCTTGGTTAGCATTGCCATTTCACATTTAGAAACTGGTGTTAGATAGAAGCTTTGGTGTTTATTGAATTGTGCACTGCTTTTATGTATTTGGCGTCCGTGTGAACAAACCTAACTTATTTGATTCTTTTTAAGTTTATAATAATGCAGCAGGATGCTGTGGCACAACACCGACATAAACCAAGAAACAATCAGCATATAGCTACATCACTACATCATCCCACCGAACGGTTCTGTGGCCCTGAGTATAGTTAGCTAACCACGCCGAAAGCGTTTCATGTCGAACCATGTCCATGTGGAACGCCACTGGAACCCTCCGTGCTCAGAACCGTTCGGCCCTGCAGTGGAGAAAAGGCCAATGACACCCAAAGCTTTTTTTGGGACACAGCTATGTGACTGCTTTAGAAACTGATTCAGAATGAGTGAACTAGAGTGGGTTTCCATGGTTTCATGCCAATACCAAGCACATATCTTGATTTAGATTTCATATATGAAGCCCTTACCTTGACTGTGAAGGAATATGTGAAAGACTTGGGCAAACTATATATGAATAATGTGTGAGGTTGTCATGAGATTTGCTATAAATACCAGCTGTAACCTAATTTAAGCCTCTAAGACGATGTAATTTCTTATCATGTGACACACCCCGGCATCGTAGTTGTGCTACTAGTTACCTTTTTGCTTTAGAAAGAAATCACATTCTTTTAAATCATTAGACGATTAAGATTTGGATGTTTATCCTAAAACATCCCCCAGAACAGAGTAGATTTATATCTGCTATTTATGCTTTTAACCACCAGGTCTCTTTAATGTGCACTGGGTTTAAAAGCTTCAAGCAACAAACCCTTTTATGATACAATTTAACCAAAAGCTTTACTGCTTTGTTTTGCTATCACTAGGAAAATGCTATTGTCATTTTTACCTGAAAGACATACGTCATGTGGCTCCCACACCTCCAAGCCATCTTCATCCAAAAGACTTACTGTAAAATCTTCAGTGTCAAAGAACACCACAAAGGTGGGGTGATAGTTTGGGCCATAGTCACACTCGAATGTGGCACTCTAGAGGAAAAAAATGGCAGCTGAACTTAAGGATACAGAATTTTTTTAAGGACACAAAACTTTCTCCACAACTGGATGGTAAGTTACCTTTGGCTGGGGCTTGTAAGGGTCACAGGATGGTTTGTATTTTCTACCAGGGATAAGCTGGCATGTGGAGCTGGTGTCAAAGTATATGCTGCTCTTATGCCTTTTCTCCACCTTTAAAGGCAAGACAGTTTAGAAATTTAAATGCACAATTTAAATTTAAATGCGCAACTGTGTTCCTGTTCATGTACTAAGGTAAAACAAAGACATTCGCCACTGCTCATGAGCAATACATGACAGAAATATAACCGCTATTTGCAGATATTAAAGTTACCTCTTCAACTGGCACATTCCTTGGCAGTAAGTGGATGTGTAGTTTTTTCTTGCTTTGCTTTCCAGTGATTTCTTTATAGAAGAGTAAGACTTGGGCACTAACAGGACCAGCATAGAACATGTTTTTTAGAAGGCCAAGGAGGGAAAGGCCTTGGATACTGATAATCACATGTGTGCTTGTCACTTTCAGTGGCTGTATGACCTCTACATTATCACCAGTGAAATGTGCCACAACCAGCTCAGCCTGGTTTCCCTCTGTAATACATGAACAGCAAGGGCAATGTTTACAGTCAATGTAAACACAAATTTGGTGCTTTTACTTGCTCTTATAATCATTGCAGTTATCTTCTTTATATATAAATGGAATCATTTCAAGGCTTGAAGACCCACTAGAACCTCTGTACTACATTATCAAAAATAAACATACCTGAAAGTATCTCACAGTGTGGGAGGTGCAGATGACTGATTGAAACTTCAAAACAGTCGATACTGTACAGAGGACCTGCAGGCTTCATCTGACTTATACCATCCAACAGATGGGTACCCCAGGAGTCTATTCTGTACTGCAACTCCCCTTTCCCTTCCAACTCAAACACAAGGCTGGTAAATTGGCACTGGAACTGACCAGCATGAGGGCACTGAAACCTGCAAAGCAGAAGATGCATTGAGGTGAGCATGTTTAATATGTGCAATATTGTAGCCAAGTGGTATATAGGTAATTTGGAACATAGTACCGGAATGAATTGTTTTCAATCACCAAGTCTTTTTCAGTCATTTCAGGGCTAAACACTTTAGGGACTCCAGGCTATTGAAGTGTAGAGCAGTAGATGAATTAATACTTGCCATATATACACTACACTTAATAATACACTATAATAAAAACTTTTGAACAAAATTATGATGGTGACTCACATTTCCACTGCCCAAACTCCTGGATTCTGCCCGTGTACAAAAAACATACATAAGTCATTATCTACATTGTCTGCATCACAAATCTACAAGACAAGGCTGAGTCTAGCACACAAAGAGCATGATAATGTTTTGTTCAAATTTCAGTTGACTTGGGAGTCAGGACGTTCTAGGTTCCAATATGATTGTCACCAGCAGGGATGGGGAACAGAGGAACAGAGGAACAGAGCTGAATCGGGCATGACTGAACAGGTAAATCAACAAACTCCAAAGTTCCAGCCCTCCAGTTCCCAGTTTTACTATTTGTAGTTTAGTCTAGTATTGTTTGGGCCCACCCCCAACTCTACCAGACACACAATCAGCAGCTCCACAGATTTGCATAATGCATAGTGGAGATTTTAGAGATCTCCCTGAACCCCAATTATGGAAAGTGAGACAATCAACAATCATCAGTCAGCTATCATCAATAAAGCATCAGTTATGCATCATGGTGAAAATCTCATATTGAGGTAGTTACCAGTCAGTAATAAAAGTATGATGGCACTGCATTTAATAGTTACCTAATCGTACTGCAACAGGCTAATTTGCTCAGCAAACTGAGAGTGATTGTGCATTGGGTGCCTTCAGCAGTGCTGCTCTGAGATCTACATTATGAAGTAAGCGATGTGATGGTAAGATGAGTTAACTATCAAAAATGAGTAAACTATAATCATTCATCATGCTAACTTATTACTTTTTACAGAAGACATGCATGTGGTATAGACTACTTTATACAGCGCTGTCTTGTTAGCCTTCTAATCATTAGACTTCAGTATAAGATGTAGCGAGGGCAGAGTAAATAAATAACTACTATGGTCTGTCTGTATGAAAGGTAACGTTGTGCACTGAAAAATGCATTTAATTTACTTTGTTCAAATACATAATTTTTCCCATCAATGACTAAAATATGTTACATCAACACAGTTTTGTCTTTCAGTTTACTTCTGGTAGTATTTGGACAGATATAGTTGTACAGAGAAAAAACAAAACACCACTTTTTATGTCAGTTTAATACAATAAAACTATTCGATTTAATTTTTTTCCCTAGGAGAGTGCCACTCTAATAAAATCTCTGGGCCTTATTTGGCCACCCCATTCTAAAAGTTCTAGCTATGCCCTTGTTCCTGGTGTCTCGACCGATGCATGCATGCATCTTTGCAGAGCTACAAATCAGCATTAAGAGGAGACATTTTATATATATATATATATAAAATATATAAAAGTGGTTGAGACCCCCATGGACCCTCACAGAGCAGGTACTATTTGGGTGGTGGATCATTCTCAGCACTGCAGTGACGCTGATGTGGTGGTGGCGTGTTAGTGTTAGCTTTGCTGGTGCGAGTGGATCAGACACAGCAGTGCTGCTGGAGTTTTTAAACACCTCAGTGTCACTGCTGGACTCAGAATAGTCCACCAACCAAAAATATCCAGCCAACAGCGTCCTGTGGGCAGCGTCCTGTGACCACTGATGAAGGACTAGAGGATGACCAACACAAACTGTGCAGCAGCAGATGAGCTATCGTCTCTGACTTTACATCTACAAGGTGGACTGACAAGGTAGGAGTGTCTAATAGAGTGGACAGTGAGTGGACACAGTGTTTAAAAACTCCAGCAGCACTGCTGTGTCTGATCCACTCGGACCAGCGCAACACACACTAACACACCATCACCACCACGTCAGTGTTACTGCAGTGCTGAGAATGATCCACCACCCAAATAATACCTGCTCTGTGAGGGTCCATGGGGGTCCTGACCACTGAAGAACAGGGTAAAAGGGGGCTAACAAAGTATGCAGAGAAACAGATGGACTACAGTCTGTAACTGTAGAACTACAAAGTGCTCCTATACAGTAAGTGGAGCTGATAAAATGGACAATGAGCATAGAAACAAGGAGGTGGTCATAATGTTATGCCTGATTGGTGTATATATAACATGGTTGATGCAGCATTTCTGATTTAAAACAAAAGTTTAAAAGTCTGATTATAACTCACCCAAGCAGATACTTTCACTGGTTGGCATCGCTGAGTTCATAAATCTAGAATAAAAATATTTGTTGAGCCATTCTGCACAGAGAGAGTCTTCATTCTGACACATTTTCTCACTCATCGGCTCCCACAGATCAAACTATTAGCTCTGGTACTATTCCTTTGTGAAAGCACTACTATAGCTACAGCCTTCCTTAGACTCAGTTGCATAAAGAGCCTACCTATAGGAGTCCAACAACGAAGACCACTGAGGAGGACTCCACAATGCTCAATTCTTTTTTATTTTTCTCTTTAACATATTTCATTATGCTAGTCTACTCAAGCCCTCTAGATACTACAAACATTGTGAAATATATAACCTTTACAGAAGGTATCTTTTTGATATTCTACAACACCTAAAACTGAATCTGGACAAGACAGCTCAACTACCTGCATTTTACTCAGGGCCCTTCCCTACACTGGACTCATCTATCACTCCTGACTCCTTCACCATCCATCAGTCAGGGCGAGAGACCTTGGAGTGATGCTGGATGATCAACTTTGATCATTAAACTTCTACCTTCAGATCCTGCAGACTCCTACTTCAGAACATCAGGAGAGTACAACCCTTTCTGGCTGCAGAGGCCACACAACGTTTTGTTCAAGCTCTAGTCATCTCCAGACTCTGCATGCCTTCTCTTAAATGTCACGCTACTCTACAGAGCATCAGAATAATGTGGGTCTTCTCCTGACATTTTCAAATGTGACTCCTTTGCTGAGATCATTCCTTTTACTTTCTGTGCAAAGAACAATCAGATACAAAGCTTGCATTCTCACAGTCCAGGCTTCAGCTGTTTGCACACTTTGTGAGTTACTCTGAAGAAATGTAAATATGGAATCCAATTATGTCCAATCATGTCCAATAAAAAGGCAGTTGGCCCCCTGTATTTTTTCATCTGTATAGGTTTGAAGCTTCAAAAGAGCAGGGGTTTGGATACTTATACAAACAGCTTTCACTTTCTTTAAAATATCTGCAGACAAATAACTGAAAAACTCACTTTTTCTTTCCCTGCCTCCCTGGAACCTTCACTGAGGTTAGAGAGCCGTAGCCAGAACTGAGGGATGAGTCTATGGAAATTGATACGCCAAAAATAGTACTGTCAGTGTACAAGGACGAGTAAGCACATGTGTAGTTGAGTTCTCTTTTCCTCTTACTCCAAATATTTAAAAAATAAATAAATAAATGTCACCAAGGTACAGATTGCATCATGCTAGCAAAATTTTAACTTCAATTTTTCATTTTATAGTACTTGCTTCTATCATTTAAGATGTTTTTTTACACAGGCATATTCTATAAAAATGGTACTGAAGTTCATGCTCAAAATAATTTATGTTTGTCTCAAATAGCATTATATTGTTCAGCAGCATTTTTGTCACATTATGGACTCACTTGCTGAAATGTTATCAGAATCACTGTACAAGTTGAGGGAGGGAGATAAAGAATGGACAGAAGGGCATGCAGCCCTACAAGAACCATGCTCTGAACACTTTATATCATATATTGTTTGTCTTTTAACACACAAAAGTGACATTGTAATGCACTGATTTGAAGGAATCTCAAGCTGGAGATTATTAGTAATTCTTACCGATATTTGCTTTCATATTCTTGCTCTGTTTCTGCACATTCTTCATCTTCTCTTTTGGTCTCGCTTTCTTTGCTCTCCTCACCTCCTCCACCTTTTGAAGAATCTTGCTACCTATTTTAAAATGGCGTCCACTGTTTGCTGCCACCATCTCCTCTATCTTCTCCAGCAGCTCTGTGACCTGAGTGTCATCACTCCTGTTCTCATTGTTGAAAACATGATACCTGTTCCTACATTTCTCAACTAGCCACTGAAGGGCCTTCCCTTCACTCTCAATGTGCTGCTCTATGGGTATGTCTCCCAGATAGTCTCCAAAGGTGAAAAGCACTATAGTGTGACTCCAAGCTCTCTGACTAAAAAGCTTCATATATCCGTTTAATATGCGTCCCTCATTTTCTTTAAAAACAATGTCCACTCGAATGATCAGCAGGAGACAGTGAGGTCCTGGAGGACATAGAGACATACTGAGTACAATGTCCTGTTTTAGTAACTCAGTGCTCTCCTCTTTAGCCCTATTACTCCACCCAGGAGCTTCAACCACAGTGATGTGTCTCCCTGCTACTTCTCCCTGTCTCTTCACACACTGAGCAGTTCTCTTTAACTCCAACTCCTCTCTGTTCAGGATGGTGTTTCCTGTTGAACTCTTCCCAGCGTATCTGTACCCCAGCAAGACAATCCTCAGCTCTGAGAGATAAGGTGTGTATCCTAGAACACAAGAAGAGCAGATAGAAAAAATAAAAGTATGATAAAGAACAATAAGTCCTTCCTATAAACCAACATACCAATCAGTGATCTGAGGTCCTCTCTCTGTTTCTCCACCGTCATCATCCTCTCCTTAGCCTTCTCTCCCTCTGCTCTCCTCTTCTCTTCCACCTCCTGTAGAATCTTTCTGTCCATTTCAAAATGGCGTCCACTGTTTGCTGCCACCATCTCCTCTATCTTCTCCAGCAGCTCTGTGACCTTTGTGTCATCACTCCTGTTCTCATTGTTGAGAACATGACACCTGTTCCCACATTTCTCAACCAGCCACTGGAGCTCCTTCCCTTCACTCTCAATGTGCTGCTCTATGGGTGTGTCTCCCAGACAGTCTCCATAGGTGAACAGCACTATAGTGTGACTCCACACTGCATCAGTGAGAAGATTCAGGTGTCCCAATAATACTGTTCTCTCATCCTCTTTAAACATGGTGTCCAAACGTATGACCAGCAGTACAGCATGGGGCCCTGGAGGACACAGAGACACACTGAGCACAATCTCCTGTTTCAGTAACTCAGTGCTCTCTTTTACAGGTGTATCTGTCCACCATCCTGGAGCTTCAACCACAGTGATGTGTCTCCCTGCTACTTCTCTCTGTCTCTTCACACACTGAGCAGTTCTCTTTAACTCAGACGTCTCTCTGCGCAGGAGAGTGTTTCCTGCTGAACTCTTCCCAGCATTTATGCTCCCCAGCAGAACAATTCTCATATCCCTGGTGTTCTCTGCAAATGACAAAATGAGAGATAGGTAATTACAGGCAACTAAAGAAGAAGTACAACAAATCTGATCTGCATGCAAGATATTAGTTGTTATAATCAAGCATTGTCACTACCACAATTCCTAGCCAAGTCCTGGCTTATGGGCACCTGGATGTTCCAAGAACAAGAGAGCTGGGAGGGATATTTTATTGATTCCCTTTTGGAGATACTGAAATATCCCTAGATGCCCTAATTTTCTTATTGTTACCAAGAATTATGCCTAGGATGCAAATACAACACAGATTAACTGTACCCAAAACACTCTCAATTCATTATAAGTGAATCCCAGATCCCCAAAAAAGTGCTGTTGAACCTGCTATTGTAAATAGATCGGTGGAAATGCAGCAGGATCACAAGATAACATAAGCATCAGGAGAAGATACCCAGCAGCTGTTCCACAATAGAAGTGAAGCAAGAACTCAACTCAACAAAGTATAATCAAATGGACAAAAGTAAGACTTAATAGGAATGCCAAGAGAGAGTTTGCATAAAAAGTGGTCATCCACGGAGATGGAAAGGAAAGAAAGGGAAATTCTGGAGCTTTCGAATACAAGGCTGACACTTAGGAGAACCTGGAGACATAAGGACACAAGAGCTGAGGAGGGCAGACCTGACAAGGGCATAGAAGATCTGAAAGTGCAGAAACCAAAAAGGGGACAAGACAAGGTTCTTTAAAAATATATTTGAGTATGCCCAACGCCTTCTGGAGGAGAAGAAGAATGGGAAGTCAGAGATCACTGGGGAAGAAATTGGGGATAACACCAAGAACCAGCTAAGCGACCCTGGAAAGAAAATCCCACTCAGCTCACCAGGACAAGTACCTCGTCTTGCTAAACCAGTCTCCCAATTTAACAACTTACCTCCCATGTGGAGTGAGATCAAAGATGTGTTATAACTAGTTATTTCAGTGACTTCCAGATATATCATACATCACAGCAGATGTAACAGTTAGCATTGGCTTGAGAAAGGCATAGGAATGGGCTGTTCAGTCTCCCCAGATCCTATTCACAGCAGCCTTTGAAGTCATCTTCATCGGAGGTAAACAGATGGTATAAGGACTCAAGTCACAATCAGGCCAGAAATTGCCACCCTGGGCCTACATGGATAATATCACAAGCATTTACCAGATAGCAGCCTGCACAGAATGGTTCCTGAAAAAGCTTGAGGAAGTTAGACCTTCTCCTTTATAATGGGATAAAGAATCCCACTACTCCTGCAACAACCTATCTGAAACCTGGGGAGCGACAAAGACCTCAAAATCTGGTGCTCTCAGTTCACCCTACACCAACACCTGATGTGGCCCTTGACATTTTGAGATTAACCATGGCACTAATCATCCATGGAATTGAAGACAACAACTTCAGTTTCCACTTAAAGTTGCCAGTTAAGTCAATCAGCCTAGACTACACACAAGAGAAGGCAAGTTTGGTTTAAGAGCTTTGGGAGTCATTAGATCAGTCAATATGTAACAAAAGGCCCAGATCCAAACAGGTCACAAGTAGTCTGAGCATCAGCAGACTGAGGCACCAGGAGGTTGTTGGCATGACCCAGTCAGGCAGGATTGGTCTAGGGTGGGGAACAGCTGCAGTAGCATGGTCATCCACAAGAAGGAAGAGAAAAGAGTTGATATCAGAAGTAGCTAGGCTGGAAGAGGAGCAGTACAAAGTCAAAGCAGTGAGGCAGCAGCTGCGAGGTAAGTGGACAACATGGGAAGAGATACCACAAGTCAGGCTCAGCTTCCATATCAAGGTACACCTACAACACCCTGCCAACCCCCAGCAACCTATGACTCCGGTTTAACTCTGAGAAAAACTGCCAACTCTGCAATGCCCCAAACCCAGTCCTTCAAACTATTCCTTTTAATGATAAGATTGCATTGACACAAGATCAAGAGAGATGGTGACATTCTTACAGAAACTGGCAGAGATTCTGGAGGCTGGTAAACAAGAGACAAATAGAGGTCATACATCAACACATGAAAGGTTAATCCATTTTGTCAGATAAGGAAGTCACAGCACAAAAGACCATCAGAGAGGGAAAACAATCCTGACACCTGGGAATAGCTGTGGCCTGAATGTGGACCTTGATTGGCAGCCTCATTTCTCAGCTGAAATTTCCACAGCCACACTCTGACCAGATATTCTGCTATGGTCAGCAAGGGGTACTCACAAGTCCAAGCACACACCCCTAACAGCTGAGTATAGAAAAGAAGAACGGGGGCTGTCACCTACCCCATAGAAATGGGACTTAGAACTTTTCTGTGAACATCCACCCAAAGGTGTGAGAATCAAACAGGAGGAAGGTGCTAAAGAAGCTGACTGAGGACGCAGAAGAAAAGATAAGACATGGGGAAAGAACATATCTTAGGGCCAGGGATGGCAGTGAGATGTCCTGCATTCTTCAAATTCAAAAATATTTGAAATTTACCTAATACAAAACAGATAAAAATTAAACACCAAGAATGGCAGACAAAAGGTATAATCTTTTATTAAAGATTAAGGCCCCACAAATGAAAGCGTTAACCTGAGTTGCCCCTTTGTGAAGCCCACAAAGAAAATACATCAGTTTTTATACTTTAGTCTCAGCTGTCTCCTCATTTGGCCTTACCATTTTATTCATCTTGACATAATTTGGGAACCCTTAATTCTCAAATTACGTAATTCCATTGGCTACCAATATGACATTAATTTTTGGGCCATGTCCAGCTTTGGGTGAAAAGTGCTGTATCATTTTCTTGGCCATGTTCCAAACCCTGAGCTCATCTAAAACACTCTTAATTTCCAACACGATCTCTTATCTTCCACGTTTTCCTGTTCACTGTTCATTGAAGGTCACACTTGTAGAAAGCTTACACAGTAACTATTTTCTCACAGACTGAAAATACAGGGCATACAGTTCATTCTACTATGAATACAGATCTTATAAAATCTCCAGAACATGCAGCAATGTCTAGCAAGTATCTCACCTGTGCATATATCTGCCAAGTGAATGTCATTATAAACAACAGAATCATGGCATAAACATAAAAGTTTACAATGCTAAAATTTAAGGTTATTATCACATATCATCCCCGTTTACACAAGCCCAAATGAAGACTTACAAAAAACGTTTTCATCAAAACCCCACCAATAAAAAAAATGTCCTCTTGACAAATATTTGTCAATGTCCTGACAGCATAATTTAGATTTCTGAATGATCCAATTAACAGATTAAGTTGTTGCAACGTTCAATTTCAGTTGTTGCAACAAAGTAAAATTCTATTGACATTGTGTGCCTTGCCTAACCATTCAAAGCTCATGAAACAGCAACATCTCTCTCATCTCCATTTACAATTAAATACAGCTTATGCAATCAAATATCTCTCAAAAGAAATAATGGTGTGCTTTATTTAACATCATGAAAAAACAATAAGAATTTGTAAAAACAGTGACAAATAGTAACTGTTTGTCTATCATCCCATCACCATGTTTATGTTTATAGCCAATTAAACATTGCTGGGGGGGGGGTGGGCAACCCTATCTAGCGACACACAAACCCATGGCATAGTTTGTGGCTCAAGGGCAGTAAGTGCAGGTGCATCAACAGTCAGAAAAGACAGGAAAATGAATGTCACAGCTGTTAACCTGGCCTATTTACTGCTAATCCAGCAGACCATGTACTACTTCAGTAAGTGCAACTGTAACTGCCTACCTGGGCAGTGCAGTAGCGCGTTTTGTTTTGGTTCCTACCCCCTAAGGACTTTAAGGACTGAGGCGGAACTATATGTCCGCAAGTGTTTCCGGGGGCCGTTCTATGCACGGACGGTGCGGATAGCGGAGAACTCGTATTGCACGCCGTTAAAAGGGTTAAAATTAAGTGTTTTAAAGGTGTTTCACGTTTGTCAAGGAGCGCTACAAGGGAAACCATACCCTCCCTGTGAATTTAATGCAGCCAATGAGGTTTGTGTTCTGTTTGTTATTTATTTTACGTGAAGTTTATATTGCATTGCTGCTGCTAGTGCTAATATACATGTAGTTATATGTTCGTGTAAAGCTAACGGTTAAATGAAGGTGTTTTAAAACGAAGTTAAAGTAAACAAAGACAACATTGACACTAAGATTAAAGGGTTTAATATTGGAGTAAATTAGACATTTATGCTCAATTGTACATGTGTTTGTCATTTTATTTTACAGTTCTCACGTTTAGGAATAAAACCCTAATCAGTTCATTTAAGAACAGTTGTGCTGTTGTCATTCAATCAGAGGGAGGTACAGTGAGAACTCAATGCTCCAGAAAACAGCACCAGAGAGCAGTGTTTTACAGTAATCAGAAAAGATGTCTGAGAGTGAAAGAGAGTGTGCAGGTGTGCATATGCCGCAGAGCTGCATGGACATGAAGCCACAACCAAGCGACAGGGATGAGCTGCAGCCTTACACAAACATGCATTCACTAGTGAGTAACGGCACAAAAGGTTATGACTTCGTTCCTCAACAAGAGCCACAAAAAGACCAAAGAGTCCGCAAGATGTCGGAGAAAGGTCAAGAATTGCACGATGAGCAAGTAAGAAGACTTGAACGTCGTTTCAGTGTGTGCTATAAGAAGTGGAAGGAGGTCACAAAGATAGCCAACCGAACTCTAAGTGGTCAATGCTCAGCCAGCTTGCTGAATGAACATGTTACCAAAGTGAACAGTGCTTTAAGGAGCTTGAATGCTGTTTATGAAGAGTTGAGACGCATCAGCATTCCTGACCATGACACACGTCGTAGAGTTGACACCTGTGAAACAGTGACACAGAGAATCGTTCAGCAAGTAATGGACATTCTAGACATAATAAATGCTCAAGGTCAAGGGGATGAAGAACGAGGCGACGAAGAGACAAGGTCAGCCAAGATGAGTGTCCGCTCTCACAGCACTAAGGCCTCCACTCATTCCCGTCTAACTTCTGCTAGCAGAAAGAGTGCAGCTGCTGAAGTTGCTGCCAATGAAGCCACCCTGCAAGTACTGCTAGAGCAAGAACATCATATTAAAGAACTGCAGAGGCTGGAAGCTGAAGCTGCTCAGCTAAAAGCTAAACAGGAGGCTGAAAATGCAGAGAGACAAAGAGTGCTAGAAGCCAAGCGCAGAGAATTAGAACATCCGGAGACGATTAAGAAACTGAAGGCTGCTAAAGCACGACAGCAAGTATATGAACAGAGTGAATGCTCACATCGAACATCTAAACAGAGTCAATGTCAATGCTCAGATGAGGAAATAAATGAGCTGCTCCATCAACCTGTTCCTGTGAAGGGTAGAAGGGAATTCAAGCAGGAAGTAAGCCCACCGCAGTATCATTCTCCACCACAAGCTGTAACACATCCAGCTGAAGACTACACAGGAGCTCTTGTCAGAGCACTCACAGAATCCATTAGTGCCAGCCGTATTCCTGTACCTGAACCAATA